CTATAGTTGAAGTATCATTTTACCCCCTTCAACAGTTTATAGCTGAAGTTCTAGCTGCCATGTATAAAGTAATAGCGTAGGTTCAGTCATTGCTTAACCTGGAGTTTAAGATTCCCAAATAGAATATAAAAATGCAAAATATTTTTATTTTATAGTTACCATACTTTTGAGCAGAGTACGTTACCACCATGGTTATTTGGGGCTAAGTTATAGAATTTTTTTATTATACCTGTTTGAGTTGCACTAAACATTACGAGACCATTCATTAGTAATCAGTGGTGTTCTCACAGGATTTGTTTTAAAATGACAAAGTGCTAAGTTCTCCCAAATGTAAAGCTCCAAATAACTGGTGAAATGATTGTATGCAAAGGACAGTAAAATATTTAAAGTCTGTTCCTCAAAATGGTTTTAGTGTTGATTTAGAAAATCAAAGTTCTTGTTTTCAGGTTTAACATTTGGGGAGAGGCTTTTTAAAAGAATAGACTATAACCTGGAGAATAGGCGCAGGGGTAGCCCATAAAATAACAAAGATGACATGTCTTAGTGTTTCAGAACTCGGGATTTAGAATCACATTATCTAGATTTATTTTTTTATTTTTTAAAAATATATATATTTCTTTATTAATTTCAGAGAGGAAGGGAGGAGAGAGAGAGAAACATCAATGATGAGAGAGAATCATTGATCGGCTGCCATGGTTTTAGTGTTGATTTAGAAAATCAAAGTTCTTGTTTTCAGGTTTAACATTTGGGGAGAGGCTTTTTAAAAGAATAGACTATAACCTGGAGAATAGGCGCAGGGGTAGCCCATAAAATAACAAAGATGACATGTCTTAGTGTTTCAGAACTCGGGATTTAGAATCACATTATCTAGATTTATTTTTTTATTTTTTAAAAATATATATATTTTTATTTTACAGAGAGGAAGGGAGAGGGATAGAGAGTTAGAACCATCAATGGGAGAGAAACATCCATCAGCTGCCTCCTGCACAACCCCTACTGGGGATGTGCCCGCAACCAAGGTACATGCCCTTGACCGGAATTGAACCTGGGACCTTTCAGTCTGCAGGCCGATGCTCTATCCACTGAGCCAAACCAGTTAGGGCACATTGTCTAGATTTTGATTCCAGATCTTTAGGTAGGTCACTTTCATGTTATAAAATACAGAGGCAGATAATAATAATAGCACTTACTTCTTAGGGTTGTTAGGGAGGTTAAATGAGGTGATGTATAATTGGAACCTGGCATAAAGTAACCAATAAGTGCTGACTTATCAATTTAAGAATATCTCCACTAAATTCTTCCATTGTATTGCCATTGAATGGTCATGTTAGAATAACCATCAGGTACTTTGTTAATTAGACTGACATTGTAGGGGGGATCTTCACATATCTACATGTATGCACATGGTTTGCATGTTTTTGGGGGCATGTTGATTGCTGATTTCTATGCAGTTGGGATTCTCTCACTTAACATGTCACAAACCCTCAAGTGATGATTTTGAACAGGGCGAATATCATTGTGCAGCTCCAGTCTCTCTTTTTGAAGATATTTTCTTCAGTAGTCAACCATGTAATTAGAAATATGTGTTTTTTGCCCTGGCCAGTTTCTCTAAGTGGTTAGAGCACTGGTTCCTGAACCAAAGAGTTGGGGATTAGATTCCTGGTCAAGGGCAGGTAACTGGGTTGTGGGTTCACTCCCCACTCCTGGCGGGGTGAGTGCAGGAGGCAACCAGTGGATATCTCTCTCTCATATCAATGTTTCTCTTTCTCTCCTCCTCTCCTCCTCCTCCCTCCCTTCCTCTCTCCCAGTCTCTCTGAAAAGCAATAGGAAAAATATCCTCAGGTGAGGATTAATAACAACAACAAAAAGAAATACGTGTTTTGTGTATTCATTCATGTGTGTGCATCTCGAGATTTTTATCAAAAAGTGGATGATTTTCCTAATTAGCAGGCACCAATTGAACGTAAGCTTAGGTAGTTCCTAAATTGTTTGCTGCTAAAGATCTTGTATCTGAAGGCTGCCAAGCTTGGGTCATTCAGTAATTATCATTGCAGTTAAATATAATTCATAGAACTGGAATTAAAATAAATCAAGAAACAAGAGGCTGACAAATGAAGAACAGTTGTGTAGATCGCTCTAGTTGTTTGACTAAGGTTTGAATCATATCTAAATCCCATAGCTCAGCAAGGACCCTCTTGACTCACGGCTGTAGTCATAAACATTCTGATAGAGCTTCTACAAGTGGACTTCTGATCATGTGACCACTGTTGGCAAATCTTGGGTTTCTCTGCACTAAGTGACTTTCCAGGACTAACAGCCTATGATTCTAAGTCATAGCTGATCCCAGTCTTTTCTCCCTGAGCTGCTTTAACAATAGAGACAGCTCCTGAAACCTATCAAGCAACCCTGCCCTTTCTTTTATCACTAATGTGCTCCCTCAATTTCCAGTATATTTTCTTTTGACCATTGAAAGAAAAGTAAAATGTCCTATTAAAAACATAAAAATGCAGACTGTACAGGGGATGTGACTACAACATAAAAAGGCACATCACACCTAGATTGGGGAAAAGGCGTGTATTTTTTGAGGCCAGTAATTAGAGCTAAGCCATAAGTTGTGAATTCTCAATGATTTGTAAATGCTTACTGTCTTGAAGTAAATGAATATGTTGAATTCTTTTAATTTGCCACTAACTTATGAGAGTGAGGATTGTACTACTTCCCCGTCTCCTCCTTCCCCCCGACCGCCCCAACCACTAAAAAAAATAGAGTTACGATGGCTCCCTTGTTGGATGAAATGGAAATTTCTCGGTCTGTCGTTCAAAACCCTTGACAACCCAACCCCCAACACAATTCAGTTTTATCTCCTGTTATTCCCTTCTGCGCACCCACTCCAGCCCCCAGGGGTCTCATTACTCCCCAGAGCACCCTGAGTTTTCACATCTCTGCCTCTTTGAGGCTGCTCCCCTTGGCCTGGGATGGCCCTTTTCCGAGCTAGTCTACCTCAAAACTCCCATCTGTTCTTCAAGATCCAACTGAAATGTTGCCTTTCTTTATAAATCTGCATCCTTTCCCCAGACCGGCATCCTCCTCACCTGTGCACCTGGACAGAGCACTTTGAGTGATGGCGTTGCTCACTCACACTGTGTTATAGTTGCTGCCTCACATTCTCTTGATGCTGCTACCCTCTGGAGCGAGGGCCATGTTTTCATAATCTTAGCATCTAATACATAGCAGACACGCAATACAAGCCTGTCAAAGTGAATAAAAACATGTGTGCATGTATTACAGGAAGGGAAATATCCTGATTCAAATAAAATATGTTATCTTTTCATTTATTATATATGATTTGGAGAATACAGGGGGGGAAAAAGGAAATGAAATTCACCCGTAACCTACTCCTTCAGAGGTCAAGTTAACAGCTTAGGATACATATTTCTAGTTAAAGAATACTTTTAAGAGGAACTCTGGTTTTTTAAATTAGAAAATTATATGCTTAATAGATGATCCTTTCTTGACTCTGATGGTTTGTTGTTGTTGTTAGCTCACGGAGAGAATCATCATCCTGTTTGTTGTGATCACCAGTCAAGAGGAAGTCCAAGGGAAATACGTGGTGTGTGTGTTATTCATCTTCTGGAATCTATTGGACATGGTTAGGTAAGGAGACAAAATAATCTCTTAAAGGAAGCCAGGTTGCTTTCTTCAGTGAAACTATTAATAGCTGCTTAGGTTTGATTACTTGGAGTGAGAAAGAAAACAATTATTTTATCTTGATATTGAAATGTATTTTTATTGCCGACCATAATGGGCATACCAAAGACATGAAAACCTACCGTGGTGTTACAAGAGCACATCAGTGCAGGTATCTAGCAGGAGACATGGCATAACACCAATTTTCCCTCAGTTCCAGTATATTTTTCTTTTGACCATTGAAAGAAAAGTAAAATGTCCTATTAAAAACATAAAAATGCAGACTGTATAGGGAATATGACTACAACATAAAAAGGCACATCACACTTAGATTGGGAAAAAGGCGTGTATTTTTTGAGGCCAGTACTTAGAGCTAAGCCGTAAGTTGTGAATTCTCAATGATTTGTAAATGCTGACTGTCTTGAAGTAAATGAATATGTTGAATTCTTTTAATTTGCCACTAACTTATGAGAGTGAGGATTGTACTACTTCCCCGTCTCCTCCTTCCCCCCGACCGCCCCAACCACTAAAAAAAATAGAGTTACGATGGCTCCCTTGTTGGATGAAATGGAAATTTCTTGGTCTGTCGTTGAAAACCCTTGACAACCCAACCCCCAACACAATTCAGTTTTATCTCCTGTTATTCCCTTCTGTGCACTCACTCCAGCCCCCAGGGGTCTCATTACTCCCCAGAGCACCCTGAGTTTTCACATCTCTGCCTCTTTGAGGCTGCTCCCCTTGGCCTGGGATGGCCCTTTTCCGAGCTAGTCTACCTCAAAACTCCCATCTGTTCTTCAAGATCCAACTGAAATGTTGCCTTTCTTTATAAATCTGCATCCTTTCCCCAGACCGGCATCCTCCTCACCTGTGCACCTGGACAGAGCACTTTGAGTGATGGCGTTGCTCACTCACACTGTGTTATAGTTGCTGCCTCACATTCTCTTGATGCTGCTACCCTCTGGAGCGAGGGCCATGTTTTCATAATCTTAGCATCTAATACATAGCAGACACGCAATACAAGCCTGTCAAAGTGAATAAAAACATGTGTGCATGTATTACAGGAAGGGAAATATCCTGATTCAAATAAAATATGTTATCTTTTCATTTATTATATATGATTTGGAGAATACAGGGGGAAAAAAAGGAAATGAAATTCACCCGTAACCTACTCCTTCAGAGGTCAAGTTAACAGCTTAGGATACATATTTCTAGTTAAAGAATACTTTTAAGAGGAACTCTGGTTTTTTAAATTAGAAAATTATATGCTTAATAGATGATCCTAATTCTTGACTCTGATGGTTTGTTGTTGTTAGCTCACGGAGAGAATCATCATCCTGTTTGTGGTGATCACCAGTCAAGAGGAAGTCCAAGGGAAATACGTGGTGTGTGTGTTATTCATCTTCTGGAATCTATTGGACATGGTTAGGTAAGGAGACAAAATAATCTCTTAAAGGAAGCCAGGTTGCTTTCTTCAGTGAAACTATTAATAGCTGCTTAGGTTTGATTACTTGGAGTGAGAAAGAAAACAATTATTTTATCTTGATATTGAAATGTATTTTTATTGCCGACCATAATGGGCATACCAAAGACATGAAAACCTACCGTGGTGTTACAAGAGCACATCAGTGCAGGTATCTAGCAGGAGACATGGCATAACACCAATTTGGAATAAACCTCACAGCTGTTTGCGAATGAAAGGCATTCCTTGCAGTTGCTCTGGTCCCATGTTACTCTAATAAGCAAAGCAAGACTTTTATCATATCATAGTCAGAACTTAGAGTTGATTTCTGCGAATTCAGGAATGTTTTCAATATAGGCCCTCATCTCCCTGAGAAACACTGTACCTCCACATACATTTTTGTATGCAATTCCAGTGGGTTCACATGACTGAAGTTCTTTCGTGGACTCCTTGCGAACCCTTAGGCCTCAGGGTAAGAGCCCTTGCTTGTAGATCATCTTGTTTCCTTCTAATTCTAAAACTTCGCAAGGAGATGAGCCTAGCTTATCTCTAGCAGCAGTGGGGTAAACCGTCTGCTCACGGGCTTCCTTTGAGGAGTTGTCCTAACTGCTACCTCAGCTTTCACAAATGAGAACTGCCCCTCCCGCTTGAAAGATCTGGACGTGGGCAGGTAACAAATTAGCTGAGGTCATGTAAATTCTTTATTACATTGTCAGTAACTTAGCTGAGTTAAAATACTTTTAAATAATGGGTTGAACCCTAGAGTGAATGAGAATATTTTGTTGAAGTAAAAATGACTGGAATTTTTGGCTTATAGAACTTAGCAAATCATTTCTTATTTTTAACTGATAAAGTTTTTTAGACTTGGGACAAAGTTCATGGACTTTCGTAGCCCATGACTTTCTTTTCATGAGACACAGAGCCTCATCTGGGCTTTCCAATGTATCATTCCCTGGTATGCCTGACTCTTTGTGAGCTGATTCAGGCTCAGATCAGCTCAGTAGACCCATCACAGAAAGCAGTGACTTGTGCATTGGGAGTGGCCTCATGCTGTCATGGAAAGACTTTGGACATAAAAGGAGAAGCTCTCAGGATGACCCCACTTCCACTATAACTTCCTCTATGATTTTAGGCAAGTCACTTAACCTTTTCTTTTTTAAAAATAACAGCATTGAGATAATTTACAGACCTTAAAATTCACCCTTTTAAAGTATAACATTTGGTTTTTAATGTATTCAGAAACATATGCAACCATTGCCACTATCTAATTTGAGAACATTTTCATCACCCCCAAAAGAAACCCCAAACCCATTAGCAGTCACTCCCCATTCCCTCCTCCTCCCAGCTCCTAGTGTACTGTCTCTACAGATTTGCCTATTCTGGACATTTCAGAGAAATAGTCATATAATATGTGGCCTTTTTGTGAAGGGATCCTTTTACTTAGCATAATGTCTTCAAGGTTCAACAATGTTGTAACATCTATCAGTACTTCATTCCTTTTTATGGCTGAATAATATTCCCTCGTATTGACATATCGCACTTTATCCATTTGGATTGTTTCTGCATGAATGTTCATGTGCAAGATTTGTGTGCACATATTTTCATTTCTCTTAACATAGGAGTAAAATTCCAGAGTATCTAACCTTTTTGAAACTATTTTTTTCTTCTATAAAATGGGATACAATTATCTTCCCAACTTATCCTAGAATGACTTTTTAAAAAGCAAGACCAGGGAAACTTCTCAACCTCACAGCTAACATGATGGTTAATGATGAAAGACTGATGCTTTCATCCCAAGATCAGGAACAAACAAACATGTCTACTCTAGCCACTTCTATTCACCATTGTTCTAACCATGGCAATTAGGCAAGAAAATGATGTAAAAGGCATCCATATTGGAAAGGAAGGAGGAAAACTGTTTTTATTAGCAGATGACATCTTTCTTACATATATATAAATTATAAGAAATCCACTAAACATATTAAAACTAATAAACTAGTTTGGCAAGTTTGTAGAATACAAAATCAATATACAAAAATCAATTATATTCTATACACTTGCAATGACCTAGAGTAAAATTAAGAAAATAATTTCATTTACAATAACATCAAAAAAATAAAGTAGGAGTAAATTTACCAAAAGACGTACAGAATATTTACACCAAAAACTATAGAACGGTGTTGAGAGAAGTTAAGATAAAAATAAATGGAAAGATATCCCATGTTTGTGGTTTGAAGACTTAATATTGTTAGACAGCAACACTCTCCCAGTAGATCTACAGATTTAGTGCATCCGAATCCCAGTTGGCTTCTTTTCAGAAATTGAGAAGCTGATCCTAAAGATCATATGGAAACTCAAAATCCAGCATAGTCAAAACAATCTTGAAAAAGAAAAAACATAGTTGGAGGACTCACACTTCCCAATTTTAAAACTTACTACAAAGCAACAATAATCAAGAGTGTGATACTGGCATAAGGATATATCATGAAATGGAATGGATAGTCCAAGGATAGCCGTCAAAGATATGGTCAATTGATTTTTGACAAGGGTGCCAAGACCATTCAATAGTCTTTTCAACAAGATGTTGGGACAACTGGATATCCACATGCAAAGGAATGAAGTCAGATCCTTACCTCATACCATATATAAAAAATTAACTCAAAATAGTTTAAAAAAACCTAAATGTATGAGCTAAAACTATAAGGCCTTCGAAAACATAGGGGTAAATCTTTGTGATCTTGGATTTGGTAATGGATTCTTAGATATGACACCAAAAACACAAGCAACAAAAGAAAAAAAGCTACTGGACCTCATCAAAGTGGCTGCTAAACATACCTACTCTTGTAATTTAAAAAAAGGTAGTGAGATACAATTTTCACTTAGATTGGCATAGATAAGAAAGCTTGATAATATGCCATGTGTAGTGAGGACTTGCAGTATTGGTATATGGTATATATAATACATATACACATAGAGAAGCAAATGCAAAAAATATTTCTGAAAGACTATATAAGAAACTGGCATTGGTCATTGCCTTTGAGGAGTGGAATAGGGTCCTGGAATGAGGGAAAGATTTACTTTTCACCATGCTTTTCAAGGTTTTGGATTTTGTTTGACCATATGTATTCACTACCTATTCCAGTAGTTCTCAACCAGTGGCCTCAGCCACTGGAATTTGTTCGTAACAAATTCTCAGGTTCTACCTTGCACCCGCTGCATCTGACACTTTGGGAACAGGGCCTTAGAAAGCCCTCTGGGTGATTCTGATGTTTGCTTAAACTTGAGCACCACTGGCCTATTCAGAGAACAGGGAAATACAAAGATCTAGACCACTTCACCTGTTACATCATAAAAGCAGGTTTTAAACTACCTACACTAACCCAAACAAACTCCTCAGGACAGTTCTTTAAGATGGCACAATTACATAAGCACAGGGATGCCAATAGAACTTGGAAGTCATATTTTTATTTGTAAAAGTCATTCCCTAGTATATACAAGTTTTGTTTGTGGAGAAAAGCAAACAAACAAACAACCTAGCTGCCTGTTGCATACAGTGGGCTTGGCTTCTGAGTGAAAGTGAAGTCACTAATCATAGAGACTTGATTGCTTGTGATCCACCTCATGACATAAGCCAGATTGACATGGTTCCCCTTCCCCCATTTTTAAAACCTCTTCTGCTTAAGTAACAGGAAATAAAGTATGGACTCTATACTCATTCCAGTTTTATCTGTGTATTTAATGACATAATAAAGTATTTCATTCTTTTATTTCCCAGACATCAGCAAATGATGCTTATAAGTTCCTTGTCTCCTTTCAGGTACACGAATAGCATGTTATCAGTCATAGGAATTTCCTATGCTTTCCTGACATGGCTCAATCAGACACTGTGGATGCCGATTTATCCTTTGTGTGTTCTTGCTGAAGGTAAGAAAATAGTGACTTGCTCTATTGCTCACTGACAAAAGCCATCTAGTTATCAGGGTTCACTAAATGTTTTGATGATTAAATTACTATTTTCGGCACTGCTTAGCTGACTCAATGTTTCTTTCCTAGCATACTTCCCTTGAAAAGGGAAAGCATGAAGAAGCAAAGTTACAGGGGGAAGTAGCTCTGCACAGTAGACAAAATACTGGATAAGGAATAAAAACTTGAATCTACGCCCTTAGCTTCATTAACTCACTGTATGAGTTTTGTATAAATCACTTAACCTAAGTCTGGTTTACTCATCCAAAAGGGGTTTCAAACTTAGTGACCCAGCGATGACTTTCCCCCAATTAAAAAAATATTTTAAATTATAGTTGACATACAATATTAGTTTCAGGTATACAACGCAGTGGTTCAACATTTATATACCTTACAAAGTGGTCACCACAATACCATTTGTCACCATACATAGTTCTTACAATATTATTGACTCTATTCCTTGTGCTGCACATTACATCCTGTGACTTATTTTTAACTGCAAATTTGTATTTCTTTTTTTTTTATTGTCTAAAGTTTTACATAAGTCTCCTTTTTCCCCAACTGATCCTCCCCCCGCAACCATTCCCACCCCGGGCAAGCCCCCACAGCCCCAGTGTCTGTGTCCATTGGTTATGCTAATATGCATGCATACAAGTCCTTTGCTTGCTCTCTCGCCCCTCCTCCCCTGCCATTTGTCTCTGGATCTATTTTTGTTCATCAGTTTATGTTGTTCATTATATCCCACATATGAGTGAGATCATATGATATTTATCTTTCTCTGACTGGCTTATTTCGCTTAGCATAATGCTCTCCAGTTCCATCCATGCTGTTGCAAAT